AAAGGCCTTTTTTGTTGTGTAGTAACAGAAAAAAAAGAATCTTAGTTCGGAATAAGATTGAATCATCTTCAATTGATCTTCTTTGTAAAGAAGAACCTTCTGAATTTTTCTGGATGGGCTTCCTGGTCAGATATGATTTCCCACCATATTTTATGGTAATCTGCCAAGACTCCTTCGATTCGTCAGTGAGCTCTACTAAAGAAGTGCTGAATCCATAGTAATAGTATACTATACTGTAGTATAGCAAGTATTAGGTCTTTCAAAAATGTGTGCTTACTTTCATGCTTGTAACATAGTACATAATACTATAGGAGGTATTGACTATGTGGTCATTTAAGGTCCCAGGGCATTGTTCATAAGACTAGGAATGTTGTCCTGGTATCCTGATCAAATTCCAGTCTGAGCTTATAGTCTGGCCTCCCTGTCTTCTGAAATGTTCCCCATAATTTCGGTTCATGGGGCTGTTTCTCTCTTCTCTGTAACTGAAGTTCTAGGAATCCTTTGGGATGAAAAGCATAATCTAAATGTTAGGAATTATTTATAATATTAATATCATCATCATCCTGGATTGTCAACAGTTTTAATTGGTATCCTGAAGGAAGTTCTGTTAACTTTTGACAATGTTTTTAAAATGTGACTTTCCAAAACAGGACAGAGGAGCAACTGTTCCATCTGGGAATAAGCCCTTTTAAAATGAATTGAAATATGCTGCTTTCTGGGGGGTGAATTGTATTCACCAAAGTGCTTATTTTTCCAGGCTTTGAATTTAAACCTTGCCTTTGGGGTGCAAAAGTCACAGAAACAGCTATATCCTGAAAAATTGAAGTGACAGTTGTAACTCCAAGGCAAATGTTTGTCTGTTTGGAGTCGAAAATACTGTCAGAGTGCGTTTTATGGATTTTTGATTTCGCATGATGGGCTGCAGTGCATTTGAAGTACAAGAAATGCCGCAGATGAGTAACAGAACCAATTGTAATACTGTAAAGAAAGCTTAGTTTGCGTAAATGTATAAAGAGAGAACTTGTGTCTAAGTTGCTTTGATAAAACTTGTGCAGCTTTGTGTCTCTTGTGCCTGAAAATCTCGAGATACCACTGTTCCAACATGTCACTTCAGGAGGTTTGCTGAATGTGTACGAATTGTACCTGCAACCAGGGATGAAGTGAGATTTCGATAAAACAAGCCTAAACATGTTATTAGCATTTCATTAAAAATGCTTTAGCCCATTGAAATATTATGGAAATGCATTTGATCAACTCTTAACCGTTTGGATTTTGTGTACATACATTCCTCCTGCCTCCCTCCTGTTTTGATCATTTGAAAATGTCACCTGTCATTTACAGATATCAACAGTGATTGTGTGAAATACAACTTCACCTTGCTGGATCAGATGCCAGTCATTTCATGACAATTGGCCACCCCCAAAAACATCCATGCAGACTTTAAAAGGACCATGGCTGCTGTCAAACATGTAGTTAAAAAAAGTGCTGTGAAGCTCATTGAAGATAATTATACTGTGCTCATGCTTTGTAGCCCCGGGCGTGTGTAGTACAGTACAGTAGGGGACCTGACACAAGTATTCAAAGTGTTTAAAGACAAATATAACCCAGAGTACTTCTTCAAAATAACAGTGAAGCACAAAACAGAAGACACAGGTGGAAACGATGTTCATTTAAAAGACGGAAATTGAGTCACTACTTTAACCAGAGCTTTAAGGAACAAGCTACCCAGCCTTGGGGTTAATGCTGATATGTTGGCTTCATTCAAGAACTAGCTGGAATAGACTCTTGGATCGATTAACTATTGATCCAAGGGGGCGGTGCAAAGGCACTGTGGCTCAGGATCTGCGCCTGTGGCTGGAGGGTTGCCGGTTTGTATTCCATGGCCGGCAGAGGAATCCTACTCCGTTGGACCCCTGAGCAAGGCCCTTAACCCCAGCTGCTCCAGGGGCGCTGTATAATTGGCTGACCCTGCACTCTGACCCCCAGCTTCTCTCTCCCTGTCTGTGTGTCTCATGGCGAGCAAGCTGGGGTCTGCGCAAAAGACAAATTCCTAATGCAAGAAATTGTATAGGGCCGATAAAGTGATCTTATCTTATCTAACTAGTATCAGGTGGGCTAGATAAGTCAAATGGCCTGTTCTCATTTGTAATCTTTCTCGTGTTCCTGTGCACAGTTCCAGAGTGTGGTCCTCTCCAGTTACGTACAGCAGCTTCTGTTTTTATGTTGTACAGGACTACACACCTGTAGGGTCTCCCAAAAGTATTCACACCTTTGTCTCATTGTGTTGAGTTACCAATGATGCCTGTGTGTTTTGTAAAAGTGAATGTTTTTATGCAGAACCTGAACGCTGAATCCTGAACACTTTTAGGGCTGAAAGAATGTCACCAAAAACTGCTAAGAAACATCAGACTGGATGTACGAGTATTCACTCCTTTTTCTATAGCAAAGCGAACACTGGCCAGGTGTACCGAAATAATGAAAAGCTGTACTTTTATTGGAATGGCCTCTGTCTGTAATAATAGCGCTTCACATGATTTCAAACTAAATACAACTGTCTCTGTAAGGTCTGTATATTGCAATATTGAGCAGTTGATGCATTAACTCTCTGAAGTCAACAACATTGATATTGCCACAGCCCTAAATCAGCTTTATTTCTTTATATCTTCTGAGTCAAGTAAAACTTACAACCATGACATTACAGTTTTTTATTTGTTACTGAAAACACCCTAAAATATTATTATATAAATACATATACATGGCAGATAATTTTATTTTGTTTGCAAGGGAAAAGTGGTTTAATCCATTTACTTCATAATAAGCCCAGTTATAATAAATGACAGTGGAGATGGACTACTAGCCTGCTTATTTGCTATTAATTAAAGGAAACCTTTTTCACCATGATCTTCCAATTAAAAAAAAAAACATTAGCTGTGCATTTCCGGAGTTCTAAATAATGTTTAAGATAAAAGCTACAGTTTTTATTGGTAGACTATCGTCATCAGAAAAAGAATCAGAAGTGTTCAGTGTTACTGCTTTATAGTTCACTCACAGTGTCCTGGGTTCAGGTCTTGCATAGGCATCTGTCTGTGTGGAGCTCACACGTGCTTTCTGCGTTCATCTGGGTTTTCACCCGGTGGGCTGATTTCCAAATCCTTGTTTAATTGGATCCATGATCCTAAATTCTGCCTTCTAAAGGAAACCTTTTTCACCATGGATGATGCGATGGATTGATTTACCAACTAGAGGGAGCACAGCTGTGCGTCCTCAGTACTGCTCCCTACATTTATAGGATAGGCTCTGATTTGTCCCAGTCCTCGTCACTATGTACTAAGTGACTATGCGAGAAAGGATAGATAGATGCACAGCGTTTCTGTGATCAAGCTTTGTGTTAGTAGTAATGCAGACATACAGTCCTTCAGGATGTAGGTTTTCATAATAAAGGAAGATCTGTGTGTAGGTTCAGATGCTGTATGTCCCACTCTGAGATTTAGAGAATCTTGACAAGTTAGATTTTCCTAAGCTTTCCCACTTGTTTGGGGGGAAATGCATAGAATGCATTTATATTCATGACAGAATTGAATTCATGAGAAGTATTAAGGTGGAATTCCAGCTGTCAAAACATTCAGCTATTTTGGGTTTCTGATTAGAGATGCATTTTTGTGCCAGGGTCTTGGTACGTGTAAAATGTCCTAAAACAGCCTGGGAGATGTGGATCATTTGCGTTCCAGAATGCTGCCTCAGGCCTTTTACTTTTCCTTGAGAAATCCTAGTGTTGCTGTGGCAGCACTTGCTGGTACCTTCATGGAAAGTTTGGAATTGAAAATGAGCGCAGAATAGAAACTGAGCAGAAAACAAGCAGAATTGGAAAGGGGATGAATGACTTTATATCTTTTAAACGCGCAGTGATTCCTTTTGCCTGCGTGATGTGAAGAGTACATTAAAAGTCATACTTTTTACAAAATACATAACTGACCAAGGGTTTTTTTTTAAGACTTCGGCTTCTACTGCTTTTGTCATCCCGTTTTCTGTTCCTGTGTCTTTTGCAAATATCCATGTGCAGGTTTACAAAAAGATGTCGGCAAACCTTAATCCACAGTCTTTAAGGTCTGCAAGTACAGCTGGTGTGTTATGTGGCTTATATCTCTGCAGGGTTTGAAAGTAATTATCAGATATCAGTGCCTTATTCGTAGGAAGCCTCCACTGGGGTTCTGGTTATTTTCGGAGAGGACATTATTTTTTGTTTTCAGAAAGCGATGCCTCATGAAACACTTTCAGAACTTCATTAGCAGTAATGAAAAGCTCTCAGAGAGAGGTATCCGTGACAGAAATTCAGAAATTAGCTTGGCACTCTTGAATAATTGCTGTTGAATAACGGGAGCCGACAAGAAGCTGATATTATTGCTTTCTCATACCGTATAGATCCCTGTTTATTTGCTAAGGAGATTTGATCAGAGCTTTGCATGAGAGCCTGTAAATGCTCTATCAAGTTTGTTTAGAGTCTTAAATCTGTAATGAAGCCTATGTCTCATCAGTATTGTAGGAGAGCAGTCAGCTCTCTAAGAACACGGTATTTGAAAGTGCTTCATCTTGCCCAACAGCATAGAGTGTGAATTCCTGTTTTGTTATACTGGAGCTTATAATGACTTTAATGTAGAGCTGAGTCTGTTTTGCTCTAATTCCCCTTGGGTCCCTTGATCTTCTTGGTGTGCGCTTCAAAGCAAGCTATGAGATGAGTTGAGATGACTGATGAGTTGAGCTGAGCAGCTGGGTTTTTTTTTGTAGAGTGGTGCCCCCTGGATTTTAGCCAGGGGTTTGTGCTTTCCTGTCCCCTCTTCGGCAAATCCAGCTGGAAGCTGGCCCTCTCAGGGAAAAGCCCGAATCGCTGCCTGTTGTATGTGGGTTGCGTGACTCTACCGAGAGCCCGTGTGAACTGGGACTCAGCCGATACCCTCCAGCCGGCAACTGAAGGGATGTCTCCCTGTTCTCTTCCCACATCTCAGGAGTCGCCTCAGGACAGTGCCATCACTAGAGACATCAACAGGACATTCCCAGCTCACGACTATTTCAAGGACACAGGCGGTGACGGACAGGACTCGCTCTACAAAATATGCAAGGTAAGTTAGTTGCGTTCCGTTGACTCATCACAAAGTGAATTCATGCCCCATGCATGAGCTGCCAGACCTAAACTTCTGTAGCTGGCCTCCTGTTAGAAGAGATGAAGGGAAAGTGTTCGGGCGATTTAACTTTCTAAAACCCTGAAGACCAAAGGAAAATGGGTTTGATTGGCTTGTATGTCATAAAATCAGGTTTAGGTGTCCAGAGGGGTATTTCCAGACATGAGTGAAGTGACCTTTCTAAGTAGAGGTCTGAGTCAGAACTTCTGAAATACTGCATATCAGTGTGTATAATCCCGTGTGTGTCATCCAAGAGTCTCTGACTTCTGACTTTCTCCCAAATTTTAAGTTTTAGGCTCAAGAGGTCCCTTCTGTATTTTTAAAAAAATACAATCTCACTACATGCTGGTGAGTTGCAGGATCCGTCTTAAGACCCCAAATATGCATTTCCAGAGCAGGAAGAAGAAATCCTTTCACTGTTAATTTTAGGTTTCATATCTTCAGGAAACAATCGACCAGCCTTCTCTTGTGATACTCAGATAATGTGATAAGTTATTTTTCCTTGCGCTTTTGAGTGCCACAACCTGTTTGTTTTTTAAATAGGAGCCGTTGATATAACTGGGAGATATTTAAAAAAATATATTGGACCCGTTCTCCCCTGCATATCGCTCCCACTCAGGCAGAAAGTTCCCAGCTGCTGTGTCAGCTGTTTTTAGGGAGATTAAATCAGATCCTCGTGTTGCTGTGGTGGTGTCTTGGGGATTCACGCTGACTGTCCTACAGCTATAGAGCAAATGTGAACTGATAAAAACCTGCGATTTGTCTTTATTTCACAGCATCTGGTCAATCCTCTTCTCTTTTGGCATCCTTTCACCTCAATTTAATAAACAAGGCATTAGCTGGAGGCAGGGAAATGCCCTCAGTCTTATACTGTTTATAAATATTCCTTACACTTAAATAGCGCTTTTCTGGACACTCCACTCAAAGCGCTTTACAGGTAATGGGGATCCCCTCCAGCACCACCAGTGTGCAGCCCCACCTGGATGATGCGACGGCAGCCAGAGTGTGCCAGTCCGCTCCCCACACGCCAGTGGGGGAGGAGAACAGAGTGATGAAGCCAGTTCAGAGATGAGGATTATTAGGAGGCCATGACTGGTAAAGGCCAGGGAGAAATTTGGCCAGGACACCAGGGTAACACCCCTGCTCTTTTCGAGAAACACCCTGGGATTTTTAATGACCACAGAGAGTCAGGACCTCGGTTTTTACGTCTCATCCGAAGGACGGCGCCTTTTTACAGTAAAGTGTCCCCGTCACTATACTGGGACATTAGGACTCACACAAATTGCAGGGTGAGCGCCCCCTACTGGCCCCACTAACACCTCTTCCAGCAGCAACCTTAGTGTTTCCCAGGGGGTCTCCCACCCAGGTACTGGCCAGGCTCACACCTCCTGAGCTCCAGTGGGCGGCCAGTTGTGAGCTGCAGGGTGACATGGCCGCTGTCTTCAGAAGCTCTACCGCGAAGACATAGCTGACTCAATAATATCCAGTTCTGCCAATAGCTGAAGTAGCAGAGGACAGGCTGTGGCCTCCTCATGCTGCAACCCAATCTCTACAGTGTTGTCTGAGTACAGTTTGCACTCTTCACACTTTAATGGAAGGCTTGTCACTCTGCAGTGTCTTGCCTTCATGTCCACAGTGTTCTTTTTCCCGAACCCTGAAAACTAATAGGATGCTTAAGTCCTCAAGTTGTAATGTAATGGAAAGTGATATTAAGTTTGACTTATTTCCTTTTTTTGAAATCCTTGTCTCTTAACTGGAGTGAACATATCCCCTAGTGTTTTCTGCTTTTGCACATTATGGTGCAAGATTCTATCTAGTGCACATATTTGCATAAAAAAAGATCTTGAAATTCTGCTACCGGTTGCCTCGATATTAAGTTTACACTTGGAGTTCAGTAACCAGCCTACAAGGATTTAAACCTTTTCTTCCTGAGCGACTAATACATTCACATACTGTACAGTGATGCAGTACTTACAGAGCTGTCAGGAGAGGAAAGTCTTTCTTTAACGTAAGCTTTCCAAGTGATGCATAAATAATGATGCCCCTAGAATATGCTAAAATCAGCTAAGAGAAAGTTCTTGCCCTGCACACGGAAGTTTTATGTGAAAAAAAACCCATGTTCAAGGGATTACGGAAACCACACTACATGCTTAAAAAAGTGCATGATGAATCTCCTCTTTAGAGTGAAATGTCTGTATCACCAGTTCTGTGAAAAACTTTAAATGAAAATACTATATTCTCAGTAGTGTTTTCTTTTAAGCAACATTCTTTCACTGTGTCAAATGCATTTACAGAATTCTTATAGAAGCCCAAGTCAGAGCTGTAGCAGTAGTTTTTCCCAAATACCAGCTATGCATTTCTAAGTCATTAAATTTTATGGGTGTAGAGCTCAGTGACAGTAAAAATATAGCAGTTTAAGACCATGCAAAGCTTTATCTTGTCGGAAAGAATCACAGAAATGTTTCAGAAATCAAGCAGCATGAAGTGGTCACATTAAAAATACTGTCAGTGTCTGAACTGCTTTCATGTTCTGTCTGGTATTTATCAGAGGAGTTAATCTGAAGAATAGACATAGCACAGAGCAGAAACCATGGTTTTGATTTCTGGTACAAGCTGAAATGGCATACAAGCAGAAAGACTTCATAGTAGTTTTCCTGGCCTTTTTTTTTTTGCTTTGCAAGTATCTTTTTCTTGAACTAAATTTAGCACAGTTGATCCACAAAGTTTGCATTCTTCTGAAGGAGTCTGAAGAAAAGGCTTCTTAGGACAACGTTAAGAGGTAAGCAATTTAGGAAATGAGCCAGAGGATCTATCCTCCTCAACATTGCTGTGTTTTTTAAAATATTAAGTCTTTCGAGCAGTGGTAAGAATTATGCACAAAGTATAAATGCACATTTTTTTTCATTCCCCTGCACACCCAGTTTTTTTTCATTGTGTCCCCTGCTCCAGTTGAGTGCCTTAGTGATGCTGTTTCAGTTCATAGTGTGATGTAGCACAATGCTTAATGATTTACTGCTGAGCCCATTGAATAAAATCCCCATTATTGTATACTGCAGCACGGCTTAAATGCTCTTTTGGGACTTCCAACTCTTTTACAACGTACACCTACAGTAGCTTTCATTTTAAGTCAGACTTTTGTATTAGCAAATAAGCTTTTGATCGTAGATCATCGCTGTTTTGTTGTTTCTCCAGGAGACATTTGCTGCCACACAGATAATGAGAAATTGAATGAGAAATTGAAACCGGGATGTTTTCCACTCAGTTTGGAAATGAGGGCACATTAAGCCATTAAACAACAACTGTATCATTGAACATTTGAAATTAACATGAACAAGTCAGCCAGTTTTAACATTTTTAGATAAAGTAGTAACAAATAGTATATAAGTCCTTGTTACTTACAGGTAAAAGTCTTATATAAGTCCATATACTTAGTCCACAGACCTTTTTCAGTGTGCTTTTAAAGCACAGTTTCTTGTTTGTTGTCTTAAGCAAATTTGTCCTATACCTTAAAAGCATGTAGATTTTTACTAATGCGATTGAGTTGCTTGTAAGCATTTGTTTTTATGTTCAGGGAGAGCCTATTAAATGATTATGGATTTTATTATGCATTATTAATTTTAGAAGAGGTTGTCCTCCTTTTGAGTTTTAATTTAGCGGTAGGCAGAAAGGTTTTTAGATTTATTGCATCTGTCTTTCAGTACCCTACTTTTTATTCCCTAAGCTGTCTGTTATATATTTCTGTGTTGTACTGTATTATGCTTGTATTTGACTGCTTTAAAGTACATTTAGTATGCTGGACTATGTCAGATTCTTGACAGAAAGATTCCTGGAAGAAGTGAATGTTTCCTTTTGAATGATTTATGGTTACGGAAATTCCTGCTCTGCTGCCTTTTAAAATATGGATCAATTACTGAATTATGGATAAGGAATTCTGTAGTAAACTGCAGTTAGGAATAACAACTGCAGTCTGACCAGAAAGTCAATTTTGTCCAATTCCTCCCTCTTTAATGCAGTTTTCTTCCCCGCATTTAACTTAGAGAGTGAAACCAGCAGACAGCTGGTAATAGCATGCAGTTTTAATAAAGACATGATCAGATTAACTTAAATTAATTTTGTATATTGAGACTGATTTAACCAGTGTTTAATTAACACCATAATATTAGCCATTGGCAGTTTATAGAACTGTGCCAGATGAAAATTTGCCTTTCATATACAGACACATTGTGGGTGTCTAAATGTTCTGTGTGTAGCCACCCTGAGAAAATAATCATTTTAATGCTAAATACCTCATTAGCATTATTAGTAGAGGAAACCGAATGCAATGAGTGAAAAATCTCCGATTACCAAGACCGCAGGAGGAGAATCTCATTAAAATGGGGAGGTTTTGTTGTGTTCCTGCCTGGGCCAAACAGTGATTTCTTTTCAGTACTTCTTCCTTTCATATAGTTCCAGTGTTGCTGTAGTCTTTCAAACAGGGAAATGGAATTCTCTTAGTCATTTCATCGTGAAAACTCTTACCTGTAGCTCATACTTAATCAGGTAAATTTACATGCTGTATTTTTACCTTTAATAGTTCACTCCTACCAAACATCAACATCTCTTTCCCCATGTAGTTCATGTTTTTAAGTGAGATTAAATTACTGCTTTTTCAATAGCTGCAATTATCGTATTCATGATGTTGTGATTTGCCACATTTAGAAGCTGCTCCACATCCTGGTGTGACTGAATTTCTTCACCTACTTTAGCCTGAGCTGTCAAAGCTATTTTAATCAAAAGCTGAGGCCATTTTTAGCATGGGTGTAAAAGACAAGGCAAAGCTGATATGGGACATTTTGACTGACATTCCTAGAAGTGAGGAGAATGTCGATTTTTAGAGCTCACTCAGCATATACGGTATTGTTCCCATGACCTTTAAATGATTGAGTCTTTTTAAGTTATTTAGGAAAGTTTATCTGTCGCAGATTTATAAACTGAGCCAAACATATTTTTAAAGCAATTAGTATTACATGCAAGGATCAGAACCCGAATGTTACGCAATGCAGCAGTTGTGAAAGATATAATTAGATTTCCTGTACTGTTTTAGGATTCAGTTTAACAACAGATGATGCTGGATAATGTGCCACCTATTTAAAATCCTGATCGAAAGGACTGGTAAGCCAAATGCATAGTTTCTGCTTCACCCAGAATGATCATTCGTAAGGCTCCAATTTAGGATAAAGAAATGCTGCTCCTCATACGGTTGGTGTGATTTTCCGTGTTTTGTTAGTTAACCTCGCTGCAGTCAGGCATGTAGGCGAGCACATTAATTCAGAAGAAATCTGAATCCAGTTCTGTATTAGTGGAGTGATGAGCAGAACGCCCGGGATTATTGAAGTGCAAGCATATGCAGAAAAATTAGATGTAACCGGATAAGATCACAGATAAGTGTGTGCACTCCCGCATAAACTTCCAAAGGTAAAGACAGAAGGGCAGCATGCCGAGAGGTTGTAATCCCATAAGGAATTCCTTCAGGCGAACCCCTCTCCGATATGGAGTTGCCAGTTATCAGTAAAATAGTGCATCAGAGCAGGAAGGATGTTAGCTACCATAGGTCTGTCTCATGCACTGCTGCAAAGCTAGCATTTGTTGGGGTAGGGATATGCCTCTCTCCTACAGTACTGCAAGCTACCGTGTGCTAAATAAGTTATATTATGCAGTCAACTGAGGGTAGATTGGCTGGATCAAACCATCCTCAGACACAGTGACTCTCAGGGTATCCACGTACAGTATCACTCACCGACAGCGGCCAGTCCCCAGCTACTCCATTCTGGTATTCATACATTAACGCGCTGCACCAGGGGAGACCAGCTCCAGTCCTGTAGGTTGCTGTCCAGCGGGTTTTCTTTCAGATCTCTTCAGCTTGTTAAGAACGGGAAAGGCCTTTTAAGCAAATAATGAGTTCAAGTACTGTAGGTCATGAAGGGATCAGGAAAGCAAACCAGAAACCTTCTGACCCTGCAAAACTGGACTTGTGTACCTCTGATTCCCACTATACATTGATATTGCCCACGCTTGTTTCTCTGTGTACTCTCAATTAAAGCCTTAGTATGCCCTCTTTATGTCAGCCTGCAATCAGCTTTCTATACTTGTGGAGGCATGTTTTAGCAAAGGGCTGTCCGGTCTTCGTCCTGGAGGGCCTGGAGTTTCTGAAGGTTTTCATTCCAGCTCCGCTCTGAACGAGCCCATTCAACTAGCTGCTGACTTAATTGGACCAATTTGACAGCTTCCAGCTCTTTGGGTTCTGCTGCTCTCAAAGACCTGGAAAACCTGGTGACATACAGTACATCTGCCTTCCAGGACCAGGAGTAGACTAGCATAAAACTTTGAGCCTGATGTTTTTTTCCACCCATCTCAGATTAACGTTTGTAAACTGCAGGACGATGCTGTTCTCTTGTGCAGTTTCCCAGAAGACACATACTTAAGTTCAAGAGTTCTAGCACTGTGAAAAGGATGAAGAAGCTTAAGAAAAAAACCTCAGTAATGTACAGAAAGGGCATGACATCTTATTGTGTTATCTATTTGAAGCTACAGTTCTGAGGATTGTGTTTGCCTTGGGATCCCTGGTGAATCGTTTTCTTGATGCTTTTTTTTCCAGGCCTATTCGGTATACGACGAAGAAATTGGCTATTGTCAAGGCCAGTCCTTTCTCGCTGCTGTGCTTCTATTACACGTAAGTCAACGACGGAAAAAATGTCATTCAATATAATCATTTATAATAAAACACTAAGGCATTTGGAGAAAAGAGAATTCCCTTTTATTGATTAGTGGCAGCAGTATTTCTGAAATTGTAGTATCTCCATTGCCTATAAAGCTAACCTGAGCTAGCTAAAAGAGACTGTTCATAGCAGAGGAATAAGAAAGTCCTCTCGTCTACAACATGTGGTATTATAGTATTCTATGGAGTTACTTAAGTGTTTTTTTACCTGTGTTGTTTGTGCTTAACTTTGTCGAAGTGCAAATGGAGTGTTTTTACTTCTCCATCCCTCACCAAAATCTTATTTTCAAATCCTCATGTAGAACAAAAGAGCCTGGGACCCAAAGGTGCCTGCAGTAATTGTTGACTCTTTTAACATGTGATCAGATGTTAAAATGTGTCTGTGAAGAAAATAAAGGCTGAATGTGAAGGCCTTTTTCCTCAGAAACGTAACTAAATTCTAGGTATCCGTTGTAAGAAAACTGTGTACTCAGGATACACATTTTATGACTGAAAAAAAAATTATTTCCTGTTAAATATTTCTTGACATTGTTCCATGGGCTATTTTGTAGTTCAGTAGGCCTAAATACACCACTTATACCCTTCAGGAGCTTATCTGAAGGGAGTCATTGTGAAACACTATGAGATCTGCCTGGAGACGGCTCTGAGAAATGGACAAAAGATGTAAAAGAAGGTTCCTGTTTAAGCTACTGCAATCTTTTTGATTTTCACTTTCTGCCAAGTTCTCGTATTTTTAATAATGTTTACAATCTCGAGAGACCCAAAGAGACTTCATTGTTCCGCAAACTGCTGACAGTCTTCAAAGACTTTCTCAATCTCGCTGCGATTAGCGCGTGCTGGACATGACGCTCCGCAGTGCTCCTTTCATTTTTGATGTCTCTGTTGAAGAGCAGAAACAGTTACAGTGCAGAAACCGTTTAGATGCAGATGTTTTTTAAAAATTGAATTATTATTTTTAGGAGTAGTAGTATTCCTGACACTTATATAGCGCTTTTCAGGACTCTCCACTCAAAGAGATTTAGAGGTACTGGGGAATCCTACTACCACCACCACCAGTGAGCAGCCCCACCTGGATGATGTGACGGCAGCCAGAGTGCACCAGAACACTCACCACACACCAGCTCTCAGTGGGGAGAAGAGCAGAGTGATGAACCCAGTTTAGAGATGGGGAATATTGGGAGGCCAGGGAGAAATTTGGCCAGGACACCGGGGTAACAACCCTACTCTTTTCAAGAAACACCCTGGGATTTTTAATTACCACAGAGAGTCAAGACCTCAGTTTTATGTCTAATTAGAAGAATAGCGCCTTTTTACAGTACAGTGTCCCCATCACTATAATGGGGCATTAGGACCTACATAGACAGCAGGGTGAGCGCCCCCTACTGGTCCCACTAACATCTCTTCCAGCAGTAACCTTAGCTTTCCCAGGAGTCTCCCATCCAGGTACTGGGTGGCATATTCTGGAGAATTTATTATCTCAAGTCAGTGTTTTCCTATTATATGTCACTATGTAGGAATTTATTTTTGTGCATTTCTTTTATTGGTCTCTCACAACACAGTAGTTATTAAATGCTTATCAGAAAACGATAACCTCTCTGATGTCTTCTGGCGGGGGTGTATACAGTAACTGATGTACGTGTTGTGTAACTATAAGCACGTTATTATTTGTTCGTTACTGGTTCCTTTCTTTGAGAAACAGCAGGCTGTCGATGACTTGTGCTCAGTTCAGCGAGTCCAGCAAGGATGTGACAGGACGTTCCCATCTCTAATCTGAGCTCCCCCTCTGGATGAGCGGCTGTCTGTTTTTCTGACCTTCAGATGATTGCTTGCTGGTTCTTTTTGTGACTAATCAATCACATTCACCTTGTCAGCATTTGTGAATTTCTTACTGCAGTTTAAAATTTGAGTTCTCTCTATATTTCCAAAGAACAATACACAAGCTACCTTACGGGAACTTTGAAAACTGTCCCTACGTATCCTAAGACAAAAAATCAAGGAAGAGGATTCACTAGGCATTCCCACAGCAGGTCTTGCAGTCAGCTCTGGGCAAGAATTCCCTTTCCCAGAACTTATTTTCCTTAAGAAAATCCTGACATTTGTAATGATAGACATTTCCACTTAGGACCGAAATCCGTTTTAAAAAAACTGTCCCTACGTATCCTAAGACACAAAATCAAGAAGTCTTGATTTCTTAAATTCTTAAGTCTCAAGACTTAAGAATTTAGTCAGAAGTAAGGGAGAAGTTTTTTAAGTGACAAGTTGCAGGAAGAAAGTTAGCAAGAGAGGCTACATAAAGGTCTGTGTGCGGAGATTTTTTACCAACAGTGCCCTTAAACTATTTTTGAAACCAAGGCCTGATTAGAAAAAGAAGTGTAAATCCGCAAGTAGACGAGATACAGACAGCAGTTAGCACTGGTGATTAAGTGGCCAGCTAGGTACACCAGGACTGAGACCCCCTGGTCTCAACAACAGGTTCTTTCTTACACACGTCCTTGGATTAACCTGACTCCTTACTCTCGGCTCTCTGCAGTGGAAACAACAGTATATGTTACTGAACGGTTTTCAAAGACTGCCTCCACCAAATCAGATTCTGATTTAATCCGTACTTGTAAGATTTCATAAAGCAGCTCACTTAGACAAAGGAAAAGTATACAGTTATTTGTGTAAGTTAAATGGTTTTAAAAGACACTTATAAAACATGTCTCTGGTCATAAATTGACATTTAGTTTTTGTCCTACACATAAATTAAGACTGGTAAAAAGAGTATATAATAAGTATAGTATTAAAAACGTATGTCATGTAAATGTTCACAATGCTCTCATGTGACTTAAAACCTTTGCAGGACATCTGTAGAGTCTGAGAGCATTGCAGTTGCATTCGTATAATTCATATTAAGATATTGCAAAGAACATTTATGAAGATTTCTTCCAAAGCAACAAATGACAGGTAAAGAGCAAATCTTTAGCTGAGTGCTGATGAGATGTACAGAGCTAGAAAACAAGTGTACAAGGAAATGACTTTAATCCATCTGGATTCTGAAATCCCAAGAACAATATCCTATTCCATCGGTTAATAGTGTAGTGTAGAAATCCACTCTTAATGGGCAACGCTGACACCTAGTGGCTCTTTCCTGTTTTTCATGTACTTACCACACAACTGGACACCTGTGTAGACCATTTTTGACTCGGCTGGATTTTTGGACTACTTAATGTTAATTTAAGCAAAGAAGACTGGGATTAGTACTAATTGAAATCTGTAAATCACAGCACTAAATGATTAATTTTCAAATGACAGTTTTCAGACCTACTTAGTTTTTAAAATGCATAGAAAAATCCATACTTCTAGACATTTGGCAAGATTGTAAAGACCAACATACAAGATATTTAACCATTTCTGTGTTTTCCGAAATAATTGGTGAAACCAGCATTTACATATTTTGGGACAGTTCATTCACCCCTGCCTATGTCTTTAACTTTTCGTAGACATTAGATCAATAATAATAATAATAATAATTGCTTACACTTATATAGCGCTTTTTCTGGACACTCCACTCAAAGCGCTTTACAGGTAATGGGGACTCCCCTCCACCACCACCAATGTGCAGCATCCACCTGGATGATGCGACGGCAGCCATAGTGCGCCAGAACGCTCACCACACATCAGCTATCAGTGGGGAGGAGAGCAGAGTAATGAAGCCAATTTATTTTGTAATCCCCAAATTATTGCAAAGCCTTTTCATTTTGTCGGTTTTGTTTTTTTCCCCTTTCTTCCAGATGCCTGAAGAGCAGGCTTTTAGCGTTTTGGTCAAGATCATGTTTGACTACGGACTCAGGGAACTTTTCAAACAAAACTTTGAAGATCTGCACTGCAAATTCTTTCAACTGGAGAGGCTCATGCAGGTGAGAGAAGGGGCTTGTTTTGGATCTTAATCTAAACCACAATAACTTTGACCAGAATGCAAACCATTAACACAGCAGACTGAAATATACAAAAGGTGCATCTCTTGTTCTCTGAAAGAAAATATTAATATACATGTTTAAATTTGGTTTCCGGTCTGGCAACCTGCATTCAATTTGAGTCATGTGTTCTGGTTTCCTCTCAGAAATGAAAGTTCAAGCAGTTCTTGAGTTCATTTTATAGAATAGCACAGAAGGCTTGCTTTTAATATACATTGGAATTATCTGGAAAATTGGTGTAAAAGTAGTACTGTTGCTTGTTACAAATAAAATGTAGGGTGTTATTAATATACACACAATCCTTTCTTGTTTGCGTTGAGCAGGAAAGAATGTGTCCCCGATTAACAGTCCCACTTTATCACAGATATAAAACTTTAGAGACTGTTCACCCAGAGGCCCATCTGAAAAGCATGTGATTTACACAAGGCAGCGAAGGCTATAGTCTCTGCTGTGAAACACAAATAAATATCTGTCACTGATCTTTTCTAGTAAACCCTATTAACGCTGTCTGGAATGCTACTCAGATCCCAACATTATGACAGAGTCCAGCCACATTTGGGGATCATCCGTGCCTGCTATATAAAAATGGAGGCCTGTTTGAGCTGACAGAAAGCAACGATTATCTGTGAGAGCTGAGGCACGTCCTGACATTTGTTTGAATAGAAGATGGAATTTATTAACCTTTGAGGGAAACACATTTACTGGAAGAGCTCGTCACTGTAAATTTTCCAGGCTCTTTGAAACCCCTGGGATTCACGCATTTTCACTCCAACTTCTTTATCTGTTTCTATTCTCTGCCTCCCCTTTTTTCTGTGCCCCCTCAAGCTGTGCCGAAAATAGAGTGCACACAGAGCAGGCTCTACATTGAGCCATATCAGTCTGTAATCAGACACACTGAAATCCCTCATTACAGGACAAATATGTGCATTAGGCCTCATTATAGCAGGTGGATTAGATCACCCAGAATATACACTTGGACTGTGCTTGTTAGGTGCTGGGGAAATTCAAGGAGAACACATGATACTCACGGTGACATTGTGGAAATCAGAAACCAGCTGCATTACAAATCTGCACCTGATACCCTTGCTAATTTGTAAATATGTTTTATTAATGATCTAAGCATGAAGATCCCCCCTTTTTGATAGCATCTTAGAATTGCATTGTATTATATCCCCCTTTTGTTCAATACTATTAATTACAAGAAGGCTTATTTTTTGGGGAAATGCTGCCATTAAAGGATATGATCCCTAATATGATGCCAAGAGTGGTTTTGCGCTGTCGGATTGTCCTGACGAGAGCTCACGGGATTACATTTGCAGTGTTTTGTAAAGATCAGGAGTGGACTGGCCTTTTACTCTGTGGATGTTTCGCCAGCGACCAATTTAAAACTCCTGGTGTGGTTTTTCACCCATTTGCCTATTCCTATTGTGGCCGGTTCCTCTGGCGTCTGGCAAATGAATTAATAACCAGCATGCATACCAGGGACTGCAGAGGGATGACAGTACACGATGTCCTAAAATTTCTGATTTCAAAGACCAACTGACGTCTCTCCCAAACTTGTGGATGTTTCAGTCCTTTTTTTAAGCCCAGGCCATTTTCACCTGTTTTTTAAACTGTTCCGAGTTTGTGCGGTATAATCTTTTTAACTAAACAGCCGATGCATAGGGCTTAATGTAAAAAAAAATAAAAATCGATCCGGAAAAAAAATGAAATCTGAAACTGGCCCAGCTCAGAGTACAAAAAACACAAACATATATCTTTTATTTAACGCTAGAAGTTTTTAATTTTTATAGTCTACAGTGAAACTTCAGCATGGAAAGAGAAGGTTCATTTTTTAACAAAGAAGAAAAGGCCAATTCTAAAAAAATATCTGGTTGAGGTGAGGATGGCTTTTTGTACATACATTTTCTGTGTGCTTTCCTAAATTATTTTAGGGGCAAAATCATAAACTATTAGAAATTGTCTTTCCAAAAGGGCTTCCTAGAGGAGCTTTCTTAGCTGATGAAACCTTATGCTCACAGCCTTTCTTCTTTTAATTACTTAATGTTTAATAATTTAAAAAACAAATTAGATGAAAGCATATTTCAGCCTAGAAGTTTTAGCTTTTATGGGGATTTTAAATTTGGGTTTCATTTGAATTGAATAAATGTTCAAATAAAAGTTCTTGTTTTGTAGCGATGTAGAATTGCAAGGCTTTAAATATTTTCATTATGGTACTAAGCGTGACTGTCTTGACAAATAAATAATTTACTGACATCATGGATATGACCACTGTATGTTTTTATGATGACGGGTTAACCTGGACTCTGCCTGCTTCGAATGTCATTAGCCAATGAGTCCTAATAACACAGCCATTTGCAATAAGCAAGCAGACGTTGCCAATTAACAACAGTTGTTTGCTAATGTTCATTCAAAAAATATTTTCTTTTGATCTAAGTTGGGGACTTTCTATGATGTCTACTTGGATCTCTAAGCTGCTTAATTCACAAATCATTTGTGATTTTAGGTTTGGTCTTCAGAGAGAATGGCTGGACATTTAAGAAAAACAATATTTCAATATTTGGTGCCTAGGGATTTTTATAATCCAGTCTGAATCTGGATGAGAAATTCTTTATTAATCCATGTACTTTACAAAATTAACCATTAAATGAATAAAGTCACCTACCAGTCGGTTGGCCGTACAGTCTGGAGATACTGTAATGTGATTTCTGTGGGGACATTTCCATCATTAAGCTAGAGAAACAGTGAGCTGCCAGGTACACTAAGAATCTACATACAGAAGCATTTCAGTCTTCTTTTGAGCTAGAAAAATCTCCTTTAAATTAGGTGGGTTTAAGAGCTTACAGCTATTAAGCTTAAATTGCAGCATGTAATCACGTTTCTGTATATTTAGAATTGAAAGCAGCATACATCATTAAATACAGCATGAACTTGTGTACACAATTATAGGTGGCAAAAGCGATTACCAACAGGGATCTCTGGGTGATAGCTTGAGCAACAGGGGATGTCTGATCCCAGAGTAAATAAATGAATGTACATGTTCTACATTTGCAGTTTTTTTTTTCCCCCTGAAAAGCGCTTATGGCTTCCCATCATTATTAAATGTCATTGACTAATTCATCATGTGCTTAAGCAGTGGCAGTGTTCTGGAGTTGTGGGGTATGATTAGCCTATTTTTAGGAGAATCGTAGGTGGACACTGGAGGTGTGAACACCAGAGTACCTTTCTACTAACAACTTGCAAATTCAGCTGTACACGACAGAGCAGGTTGGAAGCTGGGTGGATCCAGGCTACATAAGGTCACATTTATTTGCCTATTGTATGTTGACTGGCATGCACAGAAGCCTGGATCTTCGACTACCACGTGTTGTGGCAAAAATGGAAATCATATTGTCTTGTGCATCCCTGAAAAAACGATCAGAAACTATTAAAGAATGCTGTGGGTGTGTATTCTATCCATGTCATGGAAAAAATAATTGTGTGCAGTAAGTTTCACTTCATCGGGAAAAGCAGAATGTTCAGCTTGGTATCAGTAAAGGCTCTGATACACTGTTGTTGTGAAAAGTAGTAAACTTCAGATTAAAATGGACCTTTTCCATGAAGAATTTCATTGTATCATTGACTGCAAATATACAGGAAAAGGGGGATGTTTTTAAGTAGTATTTTTTATGTAAAAGACTGATGCTTACTTAAATTTGTTTCAATTGAAAATTTTCCTTTCCAATGAATTAGCGTTAATGCTGAAATTCAAGTTGGCACCTCTGACGGTTTTGAAAAGGGCCCCGTTTTGATGTGTCCCGCCTAAACACGGTGACTTTTTTCCCCGGTTTCTGCAACAGAACGAACCGATTGTCCAAGCTTGCTCTTTCCGTTTCTCTAGCAATCATTTCATGCAGCTGACCCGGCCCTTTTAATAACCTTAATCGCTCTGACCTATTAAGATCACGTCTGCCAGTATGCATTCGGCTGTCAGTTATTAACCGTGCGCTTGATGGGCTGAAAAATTCAAAGTCCGGCTCGTGCCTTCTCTTGCTGGCGACACGTTCCACTGTGCAACGCTTCTCGAGCTCAGAGAGTAGGAGCCAAGAAGGGAACCAACTTTGGCTCTCTGTGGCCGATATGGGAACAGAGCAAAGAAAACTATATGTTACGCACAGTATACACTAACGCCACTCAACCCCAGTCATAACTTGTTTGTCCCCCTACCACCTGTTAGAAGGTTCCGGACGCTCCAGTCGCACGCAACAAGCCTCCAAAATAGCTTCTTCCCCAGAGCCGTCAAGCTGGTGACGCCCCCACTCCCTCCCATCATACTATGATCTCTCCTCACTTCTTCCTGTACCCACAACAACTGTACTCCTACACCACTACACACACGAGAACTGAATGTAGGCCGAAATTGTGCTTAAAACTGTACTAGTTGTATTATTTGATAATCGCCGTATTATTTTTGTACTGTTCGCCGTATTACTTTTGCACTATTTTTCTCCTGTTTGTATACTTTTCTCTGTGAATTTGCACAGTTTCTGACAATTCTGCAGTGGCACCATACTGTTGTTTACACTGTTATTGTTATTGTATTTCTGTCTATTGTCTTGTCTGCTGTTCTATATATATACTGCACCTGAGAGACTAATGAGAACCACTTTTCACTATACTATGCACCCGTGTAAGTACAATGACAAAGTTGAATTGAATGGTCTTTTCCTCACCACAACTGAACTCTCTCTTGGCTTCACGTTTGCTTAAGAGTTGGCTCTGGACCAAATATGATAATCAAATCATGAGGCTTTTGATCCCCACAAGAATACCAAGTTTATGGCATCCCCAGAGGGGACAGTAAACACCCCAAAATGGCTAATTCCTGGCTGTTAGGGTTAAAGCATGGGACTGCCCAGTGCTTCACACAACATTTCATTATCCTTGTTGATGTGGCAATGCTAGCAATAAGTATAATAAATACAAGTAATCTTTCTGCGGCTTCTTTATTGAAATACAAGTAATGAATGTTCAATTACTTTATTTTCCAAAGAAACTGGTGGCTCCAGTCAGACAGGAGCCTCAGGCTCATAAATGCTCCAATTTCCCCCTTAACATAAATCGCACACAGAAGAAAAGTTTTTGATTGTCACTCTTGTTTTCCCTAAAACTACTATCTTTCTTGATAATATTTTAAGGGGAGTCGATACGGCTGGTCCTGTCAGTGATCTCACGCTCGAACAGGGGAGCGGAACAGAGGGGCAGAAACGGAAATTTGATCAATTGGTGTGAGAATAAGAGAAGAGCGCTTTTTTTTACACAGAAGAATCCATGACAGGAGTGACTTGTCCCGGTGTGAAGACAGAGACACTGGGAGCTTCCAAGTCTAGTTCCGCTGCTGTGATAGAATCACTTGGTGTTTAGGGAGGTAATGAGACCCGATGGCCTTTTTCCATCATTGCTATCTCATCAATATTACCTTGCTTATGATCTCATGAAGATCAGACCCCAGTTTGTGTGTCGATGCACTGACGTGTCAGGTTCAGGGGATATAGTACATCCCCACAGGTATCCAAACTGCATCCAGTGAGGTAGTCGGTGAGGAGATCACAACACTGCAAACTGTCTGTGTCCTTTAACCAGACCGTTTCTGTGTGTTTGGTAACTCTCCCACTGCGCCACGTTCCGAACCTTCAGAACCTGAAGAACCTTCGTGTCTGTGGGTGTTGCTCGTGTTGTACTTTCTGAGCCAGTTTAGTGTATTCTCGCCAAGCTGCAAAACCAGTTCCTGACCCCCGGAGACCAGGGCGAGCCGCCACTGACTCTGTCTTGCATGTGTGTGTGTTTTCTGCTCAGGAATACATTCCGGACCTGTACAGTCACTTCCTGAACATCAGCCTCGAAGCGCACATGTACGCATCCCAGTGGTTCCTCACCCTCTTCACAGCGAAATTCCCCCTCTACATGGTTTTCCACATCATCGACCTGCTGCTCTGTGAGGTACGTTGGGGGTCCCCTGTCCTCGGAGGTACCCCTGAAAGAATAATTTCAGAGGCGATGATGAGAACGTCGGCCTTCGAAACCTTGTTTAGCAGTTTTTTAATAACCAAAGTGCCATCTGAGGCTGTCTGAATGAATACTGGGAAAGAGGACAGGGAGAAAACATTTGTCTCAGCTTGTCGTAATGGAGCAGTTTATTTCAGAAGTCCATTGAGAGGAACGCTCTTGGGATTTAACACGACAAGACTTGATTGTTGTTCTGCAACAGCGTTTCTGATGGGACTTGCAGGAATTCTGTGAGTTATATTCAGCCTTTTAAGTTTTTCACTAAATTTGGAATGGAAGAACGAGGAAGCTACAGACCAGGGCGGTGCAGTGGCTCTGTGGCTAAGGATCTGCGCCTGTGGCTGGAAGAGGAATCCTATTCCGTTGGGCCCCTGAGCAAGGCCCTTCACCCCAACTGCTCCAGGGGCGCCGTATAAATGGCTGACCCTGCGCTCTGACCCCCAGCTTCTCTCTCCCTGTCTGTGTGTCTCATGGAGAGCAAGTTGGGGTCTGCGAAAAGACAAATTCCTAATACAAGAAATTGTATATGGCCAATAAAGTCATCTTATCTAAATATTAAACAGAAAAGGCAAGTTCAAAATGCAGGCTGAGGCATGACTATACAGGCCAAACAGAGCTGGTAGTTTTCAAACCAGTTTTGAGATTCTCTTTGTCTAAGGGTGGTGCCCATGACTATTTCTTGGCTCAGTATGTACCATCTATATTTGAAGGTGACTAGGAAACGAACCTTATTTCGAAGGAAAAAATAGTTCAGTCCTGCCATTGACCACACGGGGGCACTGTTCAATCAGAAAAGTCTACATAATAAAGGCCGTTAAAACTAGTCCTTTCAGCTAAAGCAGGTTTTTCATCGTTAGACAGCAAATGCTTTGTTCATAACAGTGCATTTTTTTAAGAGAGGAAATCAGTTGAACTGCTTTCAATTAAGAGGGAAATCATTTGTAACTTATTTTACTTGGGATTAGTGTAATCGGTTTAATGAAAGTACTTTTCATGGTTCAATGAGAAGAGCATGAAGTGTGGAAATTCAAAAGAATATGTTTGCCTTAGCTACACAATTTGCGGTGAGGAATCGGCCGTTTGTAGCTCATTAGGTTGTCCTCCCAGAACTCTTTTGTCCCGTGAAGAGGTTACATCTCTGCCGGCTCTATCCTCTGGTGACGGAAAAAGTGCCTTATTCGGGGTGACTTTGATAAATCGATGCGTTCCTCACTCCTTGACGACCGAAGCACCAGCTGTAATGCGCCGGTCCACTCTCCTCTGCTCGCTGTAACTGAAGCGCGATTGGGTTTGCTTTTCCAGGTGCCGAATGACCCCACCCCCACCCCCCACTGTTTGCGCTGTTCCTGCTTGTTTGGGTTTTAAATCAAACTTCACTGCCAAGAAGTCTCCCTCTTTTTTTGGGGGGGTCCACAGCAAAAGATTCTTGTGAGCTCTTCAAGTTGAAGAAATGTAAAGGAAATGGCAGAATCACTTTAAATATCTACTTATCTAAATATATAAATCCATTCTAATTATCAATCTAATTAACAGATTGGTAATTAGTAAAAGAGAGGCCTGTGGATCAGTGTCCAGCTTTTTAACAGGTATATCAGTAGCAATTTCCAAAAGCCTTCATTATAATGACAAGTCGTTATTAGTCAGCCTTCTAGAAATTGGTATCCCAGGCACTGTGTTTCAGATTTGATCTTGGTGAGCAGGTCAGTGTGTTGGATTTAATATTAAATTACAATTTAACTAACTTAGCTTGGATGTTTTTCTCCTTTTTAAATCTGTTCAGTGGAATTTCAGAATTATGCTACTGTACTCTTCATCTCTTACTATTGCAGTAGCTGCCCTGAAAGACTCTTGGTTGGTCCTCTTTCCTGCTTCTCTGATTTATAAGGTCATTTTCATACAGCACGTTTAACCTTTTCATGTCACGTGCGATAGGCCTGCAGATTCAGGCTAGACCATAATCTACTCACAAGACCGTGCAATTCAAAATGCTGTTAAACAGCCTCTTATCTGTCGCCCATTACTTACTCATTGTGTAACATTCCTTTTCTCTTTTAGGGGATCAGTGTTATCTTCAACGTTGCACTGGCATTACTGAAAGTAAGTTCCTTTTTTTTCTGTGGAAAGGATAAATCAGCTCATTAGATACAAATGCTTCTTAAGAGAGCAACAGTTCATGCAGCTGGGAAGTGCCTGTTTTGTTGGTACTGTGCCCATCGCCCACAAGATTTAATTTGTAAGCAAAGCAGGAGCTTTCAAACGGCCTTGCACAAGCCAGTGACTAGCCTGTCAAACAGCAGCTTCTGGGGTTTCTTTGTCATGATCGCCTCCAGACAGCAAATGAAAAGATGCCATCAGAAAGTTAGCAGTGATGTCAGGGCCATGCAAGGCCTACATACATTTTTATTCTTTCTTTTTTGAGTGGAACTAGGCTGTTGCACTTCTAAGGCCTTACAACACTAGCATTGTCTTTTTGGTGTGTGTGTGGGGGGGAATTTTCCAGTGTGGTATTTTTTTTTAATTGGAACAACAGGAAAACCTGCTGCCTGTTATGTTGTTCTAGACCTCAAAAGATGATCTGCTGTCGACAGACTTCGAAGGGGCATTAAAGTTCTTCCGTGTTCCAGTGCCTAAAAGGTACAGATCTGAGGAGAATGCCAAGAAATTGATGGAACTTGCCTGCAGCATGAAGGTAATAAGCCAATTAAATTTTATTTTACAAGGCCCCCTCACAGCATTTCAGAGGCAGAGGCATTGTTATAGTAGGCAACAGGAAAAATGTACGTGAACCATTGCAGTACATTCAGTCCAGTTTCGGAAGTCGGTTACATTAAGTTAAGTCTGTAGATAAGACTCCAAATAAAGTCCTTTTCAAGTAGTAGTCCTGCCCAGCTTTAATGTAAATAGAACAAGGTCACAATATGAAAAATCTAGCACAGATTACTTGGTAGGAAGGCTGGAACAAGAGTTTAGATCTGTCAGTTCTCTTTGTTGAAGGAAATTAAATCAATATTTTGGATGTTTCGCTTCGGTCCAAAGCCAGATCCATACCTGAGCACTGGGCTGTACAGTGTAATCACTCTCCATATTGAACAGTTTAGTCACCTGTGACAGTGTGCTCAGCTGCGTAAGCAGAACAATGTTTATGGTAGCAGAAGTGTGAATTTATTGTTTCCTGGTAGCTGTGCAGCTCTTGTCCTGTCTTCTTTGTCATTATAGTCTTTCAAGTCAGAGGTAACTAAAAACTGAAGAGAGTAGGTTCATTTAATCTCTGGGTACTCAGAATATAACTGGTAAATGTAGAGGGAAGGTGACTGATTTATTTTATTGCCATTCTAAAGACAGAAGCAGCACATCCTCTGATATCACTATCACATGGATTAATTGGATAGACATTTTAACAAAATTGATTTGCAAAAGTGAACATGACATAAACACACCTCAGAGGCCTTAACTTCAGATCAGAGATTATCTCGACTGTTATGCAGACATGAAGGTACACCTGTGACTCCAGTGCAGGGAAACAGTAATAACATAAAACAGTATTTTTACTTAACATTATAAAAATGGCCTCTGCATTTCAATCCTGAGTGATCATATGACTAAGAACTGGAGTTTGGCATTGATGCAGTCATTACTCGGCAGACTAATGGAAAAGGAAATTAAAGCGAATTGTATCATGACTGGTTAAAATAATGCAATCCCAGTTCATTTTTCAATTTATATCCCAATTATGAGTGCAATTATGTGAGGCAACATTAGAGGGAGACAGTGTTCCATCAGCCAAGTTTCTGGTGGGCTGTATCAGTAATGTCACTTGGCACAACGCTGCCTTAACCTGCTATCTTGTAATTGTGGAACTCACAGAAGTAATCAGAATGCTCTATGATAAAAGTCTGTAAGTAATTACAAAGTTCAAATCTGAGTATGTTGCACAAAGTTAATGTTTTTTAAAAAAAACATTAAAAAAGATCAAGTCTCCTACTTGGATTTCCAGCTACCTTTAGCGTGATTTATTGCAGTCTGTTTTTCTGAAGTTTCTCGTGGTTCACCTGAGACAGAGATTATGCTACGGTTTCCTCAACTGTATGTGAGCTCTTCTGCTGTGTCTTGTTGGCATTCATGGGTGTGAAGCTGACTCCCAAGGGCAGATCAGAAGAACCAATAGCCTGAATTTGTAACAAGGGTTATACATCAGGGGATTAGCACTGTCTCTGGAATCTCACTGGCTTTCGTGTGTTGTGTTTTTACTGTAGTTCCACAAAGCCTATAACCCCATGTTTCACTCTGGGCAGCTCTCTGACTCTCCTTCAGTAGTTGGGCAGCGCACTCCCCTTCTCCTTCCAGAAGATCTGAAAATCTGTCCTGCACGCTGAATGAATTCTTGCTCTTATCACGCTTGACTGTTCCAGTCTTGGCGGCGGCTTTGGAAATAAGCCTAGCCGAGTTTGAATGTTCAGGGTAAAATATTTCTTATTTTTCCCCTTGATCGCACAAAGAACTATAGAGCTTTAGTGAGGCACAGCAGGGAAAAAAAAGAAACAGTTCTAGGTTCAGTGACACTTTCCATTACAACAAGCTCCTAAAATAAGCCTTTGTGTCTTTTGAAGTCAGCAGTAAGGGGAGGAAGGGGCTGCTACTTCCTTTAACATTCATTAACTTTAACATCTTTCAGATGGAAGACAAAGGTTGGATACATTTGGTCACTTTGAGGATTTTCTCATGTTTATAGTCACTGATTCCCCACTGGCATAATAATATTACAGTCGAAACAACAGTCCCATCCGTGACAAAGGGATGTCCAATTATTTAAAAGTCGCACACAGACCAAGTACTTTTTGGTCTCTTTTCCAGCTAAACAAAATGGACATGTCTTATGAAGTCGAAGTACATTCTGAGTTGCCATGACAAAGAGACGTTTTCGGTGGGGAAGACGTTGTTCCGATTCAAGCAGTCCCTGCAAGCCAAAAGATCAGGGCTCCAGAGCAGCATTCTCCTGCTTAGACTCCAAAGACTCGCCATGGGATCGTGAGATTCCATCTGGAGACCAGAGTGCCCTCAGAGCAGCAACCCGAAACTGAAAATAGCCGTTAATCGCTTACAAATCAACTCGGGATCTTTCTTCAGATAGGTCTGAATCCACAAATCCATGCAGTACGATGCCTGAAGTTAAAGCAAACCTTTTCAGATCACTTGTCAG